ACGTTGAGGCGAGAACCACCACCGCAAAGCTCAAAGGCATTACCGCCACAGGCAATGTTACAGTCCTTGGCAGGCGCAGCGACGGAGCCTCCACGAAGCTCATTGCCACACCAGCACTCGCCGCCGTATTCGACACCGGCCATCTTTAAGTTGAGACTCTTGCAGGCCGCAACGCAGCTGGCAACCGTCTTGGACGTGACCTTGCCCTCGGTCGGCAGAGCGCGGCCCTGCGTCGCCTCGGTGTAGCACCCAATGTGCTTGTAGCCACCAACACCGGGGTTCGCGACGGGGCCTCCGACAGGCGGCGTGACGGTGCCACCACCGCTGTCGGGCCTCGTGAGGTTGCCGTCCCACTGGGTCGAGTCGGCAAAGAGTGAGATGTACGTGGCGCCGGCTCCATTACCAACGCCGTTGCCGCCGCAAATCTGCTGCAGGTCGCCAGAACAGTCAAAGTTGCAGTTGGCGTCGGCGACCTGGGTGCTGGGGATGAGGTTGCCGGCCCAGCACTCACGGTGGTACTGGGTGCCGCAGAAGACGGAGCCACGCGCGCCACAGGCGGCGATGCACATGGCGTTCTCGCCGGCGTCGTTGCCGTAGAGCTGGTTCGACAGCTGGCGGGTCGGCGTGTTGTCCTTGAAGCAGCCGACGTAGCGGTACTTGCCCTGACCGCTAGCGAGCAGAGGCGGCGCTTGTTGGGTGACGGCGTTGCAGAAAAAGGGGATGACGTGCTTGCCCGAGACAGGGTCGTTGGTGTTCATGGTCCAGGTCGTCGTGCCGTTGTAGGCGTCCTGGTTGTACTGCGTCTTGGGGACAGTGCATGTCATGACGGCCGTAGCGCTTTCGCCGGGCGCGAGGAGAGTACCCTCGGCGAGGTCGACCTGGTTGGCGGCACGAACAATGCTGTTGGAGCCGACAGGCGGCTTGGACACGGTCAGGGAGAGCTTGACGCCGCCGGCGGCAGCACTGTTGGTGACGCGGAAGAGCAGAGAGCGGTATGTGTTCTGCGTCACGTCGCCAAACGTGAAGGGCGTATTGTCGTCGACGTAGTCAACCCAGCCCGAGCCGTCGGGCTTCTGGAACTGGAGCAGGACCACAGGAGCGGCGCCTGCGCTGCCGGCGATGGAAAAGGTGCGCTCGCCACCGTTGGTCACAATCTTGACCCAGCCCGCAAAATCACCCGCCTTGGTCGTGTCGAAGAGGACAGTCAGAACTGCGTTGCCGTTGGCGGGGATCGAAGCGGGCACGCCCTGTACCGAAAAGGCCGAAACCTTGACATCCCCAGCGTCTGTGAACGGCGTAAAGGGACCGCTGGCGCCGGCTGTCGAAATTTGCACCGACGTGATGGTGAGCTCGGCGTTACCCTGGTTGCTCAGAATGACGCTCTCAGAGAGGTCGTTGGGGTTGGGGCCGGCGACAGAGGTCGGGAAGACGATGCGGTTTGGTGACACGGCAAGTAGAGCGTCGGCGCTGGATCCAGTACCGCTGAGGCGAACAGTCGACGTGGTCCTGTACCCAGCGACCGAGTTGGTCGTGTTGAACTTGATGTCATCAGCGAGCGTGCCGACGCTGCCAGGGGTGAATGTGGCCTTGACCGTGAACTGCTGGCCGACGGCAAGCTGCAGCGGCATGTTAGGCGTGCCAGAAACGGCGTAATCCTGGGACTTGTCGAGTTCGACGCCCGTGAGGCTGACACCGATGACAGCCTTGCAGGTAATCGTCTTCTCGTCCGACTTGGCGTTGATGTTGACAGAGCCAAAGGTGGCCGGCGCCGGCGAGCAGTCGAGCGGCGACTTATTGGGCGCGCCAAAGGCATAGAGGTAGCCCTGGTTCGTGCCAACAAAGAGGGTACCATCACCGAAAACGGCACGGGTGAACTTCATGATACCGGGAACGTTGAACGACTTGCGCAGCACCATGGCACCATCCTTGGGAATAGCGTCATAAATACGGATTGTCGACAGAGGCGAGGACCCAGCAACAGTCTGAACATCGGTGACCCAGACGAGACCGGTTCCTGGCTGGCCGTCAAGCGACGTGACGGTCCCGTGGCTGACACCGAGGACATAACCGTTTGTCTGAGGCGAGTCGGCGACCTTGGCGAAGCTCGGCTTGCCGTTGATGCACGAGAACTTGAAGACGTGCGACTGGAACTGGATGACATTGATGTAGATGTAGCCGCCCTCGAGCGGGTAGACACCAGCGCCGGCGTAGACCGAGTTTTCGTTCTGGTACGTCTGCAGCACAGCATCAGACTTGCTGTCGGCGCCGTTGCGATAGCCGCCAAGGTTGTCGAGGTCAAGCCAGTACGTCTTGCCGCTCTTACCAGTGACGACGCCCATGCGCTTGACGTTGCCGCAGGAGAACTCGCTTGGGAGAATCTCGAGAGGGCTCGTGCCGAGATCCTTGTCGGCGCCGTCGAGTTCCTGCTTCTCATAGGGCATGAAAAAGTCGGCAACGTCGAGGCGGCCATCGGCGCCGATAGTCATGTGCACAGCGGCCTCCTCGAGGGCCGTCGGAGGGTTGAAGCCCTTGACGGGGATCGTCGCCAGCTGTGAAGCGTAGCCGTTGCCAGTCGCGAAGAAGATGGATCCGGCATTGTCCGAGGCAATACCACCGCCCGACATCCAGATACTGGCGCCCTTCTTGTTGGCGGGAACATCGGGGCCCTGGGTAGCAAACTGCTCCACGAGCTTGCCCGATGTCTTGTCGAACCCGATGACCCAACCAGTAAAATCATACTGCACGCAGTGAGAACCGAAGCCGACGTAAATGTACTGACCGACATGCAGCAGGGCAGGCCTCTGATTCGAGATGCCGGCGTTGAAGATGCGCTGCGGGCTGTTGCGGGCAACAATGCCCTCAAGACCGACGGGGAAGTTGGGCCTCTCCGTGAGGTCGTTGGCGTCGAGGGCGTGAATGAAATAACGTCCGGCCGGCTTGCCCTGGGCGACGTTGGGCTGGCTCTGGTCGGCATATGTCTTACTCGTGAGGTAGAGAGTATCGGTAGCCGGGTCGATCACGCCTGTTGAGATGATGCCGACATGGGGGTTGATATCGAGACAGTTGTTGAGGTCGGCCGTCAGGAAGGGAAGACCGAGGTTGCGCGAGGCCACGATCTCGCCCGTCTTGGCGTTGATCTTGTAGACATTGTTCTGTGTCGTCGAGTAGTAGACGTACTGCGCAGTGCCCGTTGACGGTGTGTACACGAGCGGCTGCGAGAAGGCCTTCTCCTTGTCGCCGCCATAGTTGCCCGGCAGCGTCGTACGCCAGATCTGGTCAAACTGCGAGCTGCCAACGATGGCGGGGTCCATGTTGTGGTTGCTTCTTAGGTCAGTCTTGTTCGAGGTTGACTACTCTATCCATCGTGGCCCAATACTCACGTCTGGTACCCCGACCTCGAGTTATCGCCGCCCCAGGTGATCGTGTCGGTGCTACCGAGGCCGCTGGCCAGGCCAACGACCGCCGACAGGAGGAGAACTGCCAGCCTCATGATGGGCAGTATTCTTTGCAATGGCACGACGGGATGTATGAACGAGTGACAAGCCCTGCCAGAGCAAAACGAAGAAAGACGGCAAACGAAAAACGAGGGTGAGTGTCAATAAACGACGAAAGCGAGTGACGATGAGGGGCGAATACTGCGACCAGAATTAGAAGAAGAAGATCCCCTCACACTGCCTCGCCCCAGACGCGGATCTACGGCGACACCATCTTATTAGGCTGTGCTGCGTTGTACCTGGACGCCTGGACCGCAACACGTCTGACCACGAACCGACATGAGGGACCACCCCTGTTCCACGAGATGACCCCTGGATGGTGTGGGTGTGCCTCGTCCGATGTGGGAGGCGGCAGGCGGCGGGCGTGCTACGGGTACAAGTGTCTGTGCCTCGATACGAATACAACAGCGGCCCACGCTGGGTGCTCGCCCTCGAAAGAGCTTTCCAAGGCGCAGGAAAGGATACAAGCAGGCAAAGGCTTCTTCAAGCTGTTGAGCGCGTGGCGCGTGGATGATCTCAATGCCTACAGACACGATCATCATCATCGCAACCACGCCCCCCTGACGCCCACATGGACTCGGTGGTTTGCTAGCGGCGTCCGCCCCTCTCACAGCACCGACTATATCCGGAAGGTTGTTCGTGTTCCTGGCCGCTGGTCTGGCGCTGAATGTGGGAGCAGTCACTACTTTGTCGGCGCTAGAGCTTCCTCTTTGATGCTCAGCATGGGAGAGAAGCCCAAGGGAAAAGATGGGGCCAGATGAGCGAACCGGGGCTAAATGGGTTGAGCGGCACCGTCCGGTTCATCTTGGCAGTTGAGTCCAGTCCCTATTAGGACACACGTGTGGCCGGGCTCGTCCTGGGGTCTCGCACCAGGCCCAAACAAGCCGATTGTCTCGATCCCATGCCCTACCCCCTGCTCGCCACGCAGGCTCGTTACATCTCTGGTTCGGCACAGGCGAAGCCGACCGCTGGGCGATTGCTCGCTGCTCGCTTTCATGGCGGGGGAAAAGTGGCCGCCATCAGGGAAGATGCTATGTAAGGACCAATAAGGAGACCGGCGAGAAAAGCCATTCATTGCGCCACCTGTGCGAATGCTGAAGAATCACGACAACAACCATCACCGATCAGAAGAGGAACCTGCATCACCGCAACATAACAAAAAGGCCGAACCAGTCCGTCTCCACCTTCGGTAAAGCACCAGCTGCGGGCGTGACCAGTTGATCGGGTCCTATTGCCTCCTTAGCTGCTTGGCTGCTCGCCTTGAGTTCACCAAGAAGCACCTGGTGCCAGGATGCCACCCTTGTCGAACATCAACAGCCCCAGGCTGGGCCCCGATCAATGTCTCGGCGAGCCCTTGAACTAAGCATCCGTCTCCTGTAGAGCCAAGCTGAAGATGCAGCACACAGCCCATGAGGCCATTGGCATGCAGAGCCAGATTCATCAGCGTGCTTGAAAGACAAAATACACACCTGGTGACCGTGCATGGCCAGTAGGCCGAACGTTGCGTCTTCTTCCGCCAATACCGCGCCGAGCGCGTGTCTCAAGCTCCAATAGTGTCAAATCCCACATCGGCGCCGTTGGCCTCCCACCGAGTGGCGTCCCTCGGGCTCCTCCATCTGCACTGAGTTCGTGGCTTGTACCTGAACTAGCGCCCAGTTACTGGACAACACAAAGAAGACAGGCTCCACGACCGCCATCTTATCTTCGTTAAAGAGCCCCTCCCCTCTCGCGGGCGGGAGTCGGCATGCCGCTACACGTGCTGGCCTACCAGCTGGTCCCGCTCAACGGGTCCCCTTTCTCTCCGTCAGCCCCTAAGAGACAATACGAGACCCTCTAGCGAATTAGCCTTTGTCTCTGGAAAGCACAGGAGCGAACGAGTCCATCCATAGGGCCTGGCGGTTCGGTAGGACGGAGAACTCGCTGTTACAGACGAGCGCGCGTCCTTTGTTCGTTTAGCAGGCTTGTACTTTTTCAGCGGCCAAGCGAAAGACTGGCGGCCTTCCCCTCTACGCCAATCGACACTTGACTCCTCGTGGATTAGGCAGGTCAGTCGGTGGCCCGCCCCCTGAGTCTGGGTGGCTTTTTCAACGGCGCTGGCGTTGGCGCCGTTTACGCCTTGTGCGCCCTTGCCAGGGCCTCATAACCACGACTTGTGCAGCCAACGTGGCCTTCCGCTGGTGGAAATTTGCCTCGGATGATGCGAGCTTCTTCATTGCTACAAGTACGGTGGCAGGCCCGCGCAGGTTATTCTGTGCCAAGACACGCTGGACGGGGGGCCGCCTGTGGTCGAGTCATGGAGTCTGTCCACCGACTGAACTCTGTTGTCCCTCTTGCCGCAGACCGTCGCATCGAGCGAGAGTATGGTGAATTCGAAAGGACGGCGTCCTGTCATGCCATTCCAGCGAAGGGCGATAATATGATGTAGAAGCACGCATCTATCATGCTCATTTTTGTAGGCCTCTCCTCTGATTATTCCGAGATCGCCTTACCATCCCGCCACCATCTACCCAGCGATTCCGGCTTTCCAGTAAGGGCGCATTTTAAGGGCTCATCTTCCTGGCCGCACCCCTACCTGCCAGTGACGCGGCACCCTGGGTCTCATCCTCGATGCAACATAACGCTGACGAGGGCTGGCTCAATGCCACCAGGGTTGTGTCCGACCCCGGATTTGAGACTAGGGTAAGCGAGGCTATTCCCGAACCGCGTTCCAGCTCCTGTGAGAGGGTAGACATCTACACCTAGGCTAGCATCGATGCACGTGCTGGAGGTCAAGATTCAGTCGCTATCTACCAAGCCCCGTTTGGTCATGCTCCATAATCCGATCTGCCCCGAGGGTTGTGTATCCGCCTTTGGTGCCGTCGTGCATGCTATCTTTTCCATCACACCCATAAGCAGTCACAGTTCGGTTCGTCCACAGCTTAAAAAAAAAAAAAAAAAAAAAAAGCTTTGGTCAAATATTTCTACGTTGGTTAGTCGAGAAAGAATACATTTCGGTTACTCGGGCGACTATGAAGCGTCGAGGAGACATGAGTCGCCAGGTGCTCAAATCTTCGCACATCGTGCGACATTCCGGACAAAGATGATGAGCTACACCACGACACACATAAGCGATGGCTCATGTGCAAGTCAGATAAATCCGAACTTGACTTTTAGCTGATTCTGAGTGGTCGAAAGCTCATTACTTTCTCCAAACGGGATGTATGCCGCAGTAGAACAGAGCTATCTACAACCTCTTCAACGCATTGATTCGACTTTCAAGGGCCTTTTTCGTGACATTTAACCCAAATGCCAGATCAAAGCCATGAGGAAGACCAGGCCAAACGTGCAACTCAACTTCCACCCCGGCCTTGGCCAGTCTCGACGCATAAGTAAGATTCTCCCCTAGGAACAGGTCCAGGCTTCCTACCTCAATGTAGGTTCGCGGCATCCCACCCAAATCTTGTTGGCGCGCAGGCACGCTATGCCCGGACACCACTCCATCTTTCAGATAGGCCTTCCAAGATCTAGTGTTGAAGAATGGCTTGTAGCTCAGGAATGGCCACAACGGGTCATCCTCTGATAGCGTTGTACGGTCATCCAACATGGGATACACTAGGAGGTGCATAGCAACCCGTGGTTCCAGGTCCCTATCGCGCGCCATCATTGCGCAACCCGTCGCGACAAGGCCGCCAGCTGAATCTCCCATGAGACAGATGCGAGCGGCGTCGATGTTGTACTCTGCGTCGTGATCAACTAAGAACTTGAGGGCCGCGTATGCATCTTCTATGGCAGCAGGAGCAGGGTGCTCGGGCGCGAGGCGATAGTCGACAGAATAGAACGTGACCCCCGATTGTGAGACGTAATGCGCAATGAGGGGCTTCAAGATGTTCGTGCAACCACACATCATGCCTCCGCCATGAAAGTAGAGCACAGCAGGTTGAGGGCCCGAGGCAGAGGCGGTTTTGTCGCTTGAAACTTTGTACACTTTGATATCGGCACCGTCGTAAGTAGGAACTTCATTACTTGTAAACTTGATGTCTTCAGCCACCGGCATGGCAGCGAAGCTCGACCCGTAAAGATTCTCAAAGAAGGTCCGGACTTCGCCTATAGTTTCCAGAGGATGCTGCGGTCCGGCGGGCATCGAGTCCAGCATTTGTTTGTATTCCACATCGTATCGAAGATTTGTAGCATCCATGATGGCGAAGGCGATGAGAATCGTGTTTGGTAGATGATTATAGTAAAGTGAAGAGAATGCAGTTCACTGATGTTTTGCCTGATGTTGATTTCCAAGTCCCCTTCCACAACGATGCTTTGTCTTCATTTGATAACAATCGTCAAGTCTGCCAAACTCGCATGGATCGATTCAGAGTGGCTCAGGAATTTCATGAGCACTGTTTGTAGCATGAATCATCAAAGTCTGATTGTGATTGTGTCAAGGGAGATGATCACAAAGAGAAGTGTCCTTACGCACCCTTCGCGTCTGGGTGACTTATTTCCGTGATACACGGCTGTCAGCAATCATCAGTGTTGCATGCCCATCCTTCATCAGTGGCCTGACTCATGTGACACCCCTTTACACCATGCCGACTCGGTTCAATAAAACGAGCCAGGGCGTTTTACACTACGAGGAAAAGTGCGAAAGTCGCGTAGAACAATAGTAAGTTATGGTGACATTATGCATTGTCCGGATCGTCCGAAGGCTTGGCTATTCGGCGCCCTTTCCCTTTCCATCCCCCGGCCAAATTGATGACCAGATTGAAGTGATTCCCTCAAAAGCTCGGGCTGGTGCTACTCAGCCTAATTTCTGGAGTAGGCTGTGGGGAAACGGCTTGTACTCTCCAAGTTCTGACCAAAGGAGGCCTTTGATACCCACCATGACGGTACATTTCGAAACACGTCATACTCGGATGCGTCAGGCAGATGTGTAAAGCTCTTGATGCAGAAATGTCTTCAACAACAGTAAGCCACCATGATGTACAGTCTGCTTCGTCTGGATTATAGCGGGGAAAGGAGCAGGCATCAATGCCTGTCGAATATTAAAGGCCTAGTATGATAGTCGTTCACGACCGATGAAGGATGCTTTTTTGACGTAGAGGCAGCGATCTAGCTTAAGCCAAATCAATTTGACCCTTGTCAATAGTCATTTAATAAGTTAATGTCGTTATGAATATAATCTATGCCTTTGTCATCTTTTATTCACATCCGAATCTCAATAATTGAACCAGTGGCAAACCATGATAGATCCCCAGCTCGCACTACTACACTTGCCGGTCTGTGTAGGACTACCGAACGATCCTGTCAAGTTCTCGCACGTGGCATCTTTATACTTGCCACATGTCAACGTGCGCTTCGAGTAAGTGCTATCTTAAAAGAGAGTAACCCCTTGAATCGTACCCGGAGGCATGATTGGGTCTCCAGGATAATCCTTCCACGTCAACGTGAGCGGGTCTTTTTCCCATGTGCAGATATCTGGGTTATTGATGCTCAGGGTTTTAGATCACAAGTTGTAACCACGGTACTGGCCCTTGCCCCCGACTTACCAGTACACCATGAAGAAGACGCCACCAGATTCCACCCTGCCTGTTAGACCTCATCCATCGCAAGCTTCCGGGATGCAAGCTACGAATGAGTACTTTCCGTCTGCGAAGCCTGTACGCCCCGTTCCTTGACGACCACGAGTATAAGCTCGTCACCTCGCCGAATCTGTACAGCATTCAATGCGCGCAGAAAATTCGCTTTGGATCTCATCATGGAACTGAGCCGCATGTCACTACAGATGTAGACCTGCGTGAGATTGAAGCCGCCGTGGCTGCCGTATCTGGGCTGGCACCTGGTGTGAAGCAGGCGCGCCTCCCATGCGACGAGGACTTTCGAGACAGTCAGTCCCAACCAGATTACTTCTTTCTGCCTCGTGATAAGATCATCCGACGTGTAACAGAGTCGACAAAACTGACGCCGGGTTCCATGGGCTCCCTGCAATATCTGCAGCTGACAGATCTGACTGGAGACGGGTCATGCATGTCGCAGCTCTTGCTGGACTCGTCAAGGAACACTGACTTTCGGTGCTGCGGGCGCTCAGGCTGGAGATGACCATCCCTACCAGAGCGCTTTGGGATCTAGACTTGAAAAACTCTTTCCCAGCCCTGACCGCATTCATGCTGAGCATGTGGCCAGCTAAAGGCCAATCCCAGGATGGCGAACCCCCAGTGGACTCGAGCGCCACAAGCCCATTTGTGCAGAAGATCGTTCGCCAAGGACTGACTGTCCTTCAACTTGACGGCTGGGACTATTGCTCCTCATCGCCAACTGCTCTTCTCGGTCCGAGTCTCAAAGTCCTACGACTCACCTCCCAATGTCGGAGAGGCACCAGCGGCGCCCTACTGCAAAAGGATGTGAAGCAACTGGCGGAACTCTGCCCCTTAATCGAAGAACTGGCACTGCCAATTTGGCGGTCACAGGGAGACGCTATGTACACCGCCCTGGGCCGACTTGGACGTTTGAGACGCCTTTCTTTGCTTCTCATGGTGTGGGTTCCTACACATGGCTTGCCGGTGCCGCCCTCTTACAACGAATTCGAATCTCGAGAGCTTTCGTGCCTTACGCCGTACCGTGTTGGTCATTTGCGAGACGCATTCATTAATGCGGCCATGGACGAGAAGCTTGCTCGGTCCATATTTCACACCATCGGAGCGAGAGATATGTCATCCCGCCCGTCCTTACAATACCTTCAGCTTAATGTAGCTGGATGGCAAGAATTCTGTGGAAGGGACAGCGTGGTCTTCGACAAGTACTTTTTACACATTGGCCTCTCGTGGCTGCTCAACTAGGATCCACGCGACACTCACCAAGACGAGCTCATCGCACAGGAGCTAGGTAGAGATGAACGCTTGGCAAATGCGGAAATGGACGACGAAAACTTCGCAGAGGACCAATGTGAGCTCAAGCCGGTTTATCGTTCATTGTGGCCACATCGCTCGCGAGACGAGAGAACGCAGAACGAAACCCCCGAAAGACTGCTGGAACCTGGTGTTCTGGAAGATGGGTGGAGGAGCGATTGGCATAGCTTACCGCTGCATTCAGATCATGCTTGAGCTCTCAACGCACGTAACCAGTCATCATTTCAAGCCTTCGCCGTCACTCTTTTTTCCAGACAATTCCCTATCTTAAGTCCTAATCATGAGTCAAGCCGAACGCATGCCATCTCTAACGATGTCGAATCGACTTCGACTCCGCACCAACAGAATGCTACTTCACGCGCACTCAGGCGTATACGTTCCTCTTAATCCCTATATCCTGCGACCAAGTGCTGTGATATTGGGCCGCTTAGAAATCCTGTGTTGTAGTCAGACTGAACTGTGCACCCGGAGCTGCAACTGCCTGCTTTGCTGTAATTCTGCTGTAGCTTTGCTTTGGTGTGCATGAAGATTCAAACGACTGGATTAAAGCATTTCACAGTCTCGTTGACCATTGACTATTATTCAGTATCGTCCGTCACTTGAGCTTGGCTGAGGAGTATGTAGAAACTGTTGGCGGTATTCACCTGGGGCTTCCAGAGCATTCACTCAGTGCTATTCACCTGTTGCTAGGTGGCCTGTGCCCTGGCAGCTCCTATAGCTTAGTTCCAGGCACCCTCCTGCCTACAGAATAGCTTCCTAATGCAACTACACCTTTCTCAGACCCTTGACCCCCAACAGAAACCAGCCTCTCAAGCTTTGGCAGCTTCAGACCCTGCTCTGTTATTGTCTGCGTGATTTGATACTAGATCAATGTTGACCACGCCGACGAAGCCAAATTGATTGTTTGTGCAGAAAATGACCCTATCGATTTGAAACAGGCCTCATTACACGACTTCGGCCAGCCTTGCCCAAATGGGAATAACCTCTCTCTCCTCCTTGACAGCCGAACGCCGGCCTCCCAAGACGCCAAACTCCGACGTCATGCCGTCGGCTACAAGTCCGAGCGAATGCGTGTCGCTGGGCACGCCCCACGCATGACGGCAACGCCGAGTCAGTGGATTGACTGTACTGCCCCGAATCCCTGGTCCTCGACCAAGAAATCGGACTGAAGCCCACATAGGCCAGACTCAACATGATTTAAAAGAATTATCTAAGGGTTAAGAGCCAATTGCCACCCAGCTCAGCCACGCGAGCTAACTGGGGTGCTTACAGAAGCGAGTCTAATGCCGCGCGCGAGCAAAACTGACGGGCGGAGTAATGATTATCAGATGGTAAATGTGCCGAGCGAGCTTAATTGGATTTCAGTTTGTGGGATAGCGTCGCGGAAGCCTTGACTCAACTGGATTGAGAGTCTGCACTTGTATAAGATGGCTCGGTCTGCTCGGCTCGTTGGAGTGACGCAAGAATCTTGGTTGTGTAGGGGTCTCTCTTTCTCACACACGCACACTCAGACAGTCCGTTAAACATGCACTTCCCATCTATTGTGGTCGGCCTCGCCCTTAGCCTCGTCGGTGAGGCGGCCGCCCGACCAAGCCAAGACAAGTATGACTACATTGTCGTCGGTGGTGGTCCTGCTGGTATCATTACCGCCGAGCGTCTGGCAGAGACCAATAAGAAGGTCCTTCTACTCGAGCGCGGCCAAGGACCGACTGTCGAGACTGGAGCTACGAACTCGCTCGTATGGAACGATACTATCACCGCCGTCGACGTCCCCGCCCTGGCCCCCGTCATTCCTCCCGGGTACATGTGTGAGGACACCCCTGGGTCCGCGGCCTGCGTCCTCGGTGGTGGCACATCCATCAACTTTCTCGTCTTTGTGCACCCTCCTGCACACGACTTTGAAAATTGGCCTCGCGGCTGGAAGTGGCCCAACGTCGCGCCTGCTGCCGCCAGGCTCTACGAACGTAACCCCGGTAGCACGCTCCCGTCTGGAGATGGTCAGCGCTATGACCAGGGTCTCTACTCGACCATGTCTAACTTCCTCAACAACCTCGGCTGGAAGTCTGTTGATATGATCGAAGAACCTGACAAGAAGCACAAGGCGTACAGCTACCCCTCGTGGAATATCAAAGACTCCAAGCGCGCCGGCCCCGTCCGCACCTACCTTCCCAAGGCGCTTGAGTACGACAACTTTACGCTCCGACTCGGCGTCAAGGTCAGCCGTCTCATCCGCAAGGGAAGCCGCGTAACTGGCGTAGAGGTTGAGAGCAACGGCAAGATCGAGACTATCGGTCTCGCCTCCAACGGCAGGGTGGTTCTTGCTGCTGGCGCCTTGTCCACGCCCAGGATTCTCTTCCATTCGGGCATCGGTCCAACCAAGCAGATCGAGGCCGCGAAGAAGTCTGGCGTCAAAGTCCCGTCCAAGAAAGACTGGATCAAACTTCCTGTTGGCCAGAACTTGAAAGACCACCCCATCTTCGCTATCACGGCCCAAACCAACGGCAACTGGGGCGCGCTTGATCTTGCTAGCGTTGTAAATGGTTCCGATACCGCTAGCATTCAGCTTTACGAGGGTAGCGGCTCTGGCGTGCTGTCCCAGGGCCGCCACCGCCTGATTTTCTTCACGTCGAGCGTCGGTAGTGATGGAATCACCCGCTACTTCCAGGGCTCTTGTGCCGCCTCCGGCAACGGCACTGTCGCTATCACTAGCTACATGACCCATGGTCTTACGTCGACTGGTGTCTTTGGCCTCCTGAACAACGGCACTGGAGTCTTCGAGCAGTCTGCGTACCTGCAGACGGATGCCGACAGGAAGTCAGCCACCGATTTTGTGCAGAGCATGGTCGACGCCATTTCTGCCCCCACGTCGGGATTCTCTCTTCGTACCAACACAAACACCACTGCCATCTTGAACACGCTGAGGAGTGGCAACCACTACACTGGTACGGCGCGCATGGGATCCGACGACGGTCGCAAGGGTGGCAAGGCAGTCGTCGACACGAACACCAAGGTGTACGGCGTGGACAATCTTGTGAGTGCCTTATCTTATTGATCAGATTTGTTTGCTTGTATGCTCATAATCCGCAGTTTGTCACAGACGCAAGCATTCACCCCGACCTTCCCACTGGAAACACCCAGGCCATCGTCATGGTTGCCGCAGAAGCGGCAGTGGCTAGGATCATTGCGTACCGGGGCTGAAGTAGGGATGAGGGTGCTAGGAAGCTTGAGAGAGCCTTTTAAAGCTTGAATCGTTGTATATGACATGTAGAAGTGCGCCTATCAATTGTTGAGCCGACTTGAAGATCAATTCTGACCACAGTAAGAAGAATTACAAGACTTCAGTGGGCAGGGAAACCGATAGTACGAAGTGAAAATATGTTTAACTGGCGGCCTTCTGAGCTGAACAGAAGGTGACTTACGCTTTCACACATCTTCAGCCCTGCTCATAGCCCCTTAGAGCTTCCTCTCACGTCGGTAGGTAGGTTCCTGCCGCGGAAGGGTATGAATATCCCGAGCTTAGGTAATTACGGGTTTGTCAAGGAACTCATCCCAGCTAACGTGGATGCTTTGTATGTAGAGCATCTAGAAATCCTTTTCCTAATCCCGAAATCTGTTATGCATCAGAAATCATGGCGTTCCTTTCGCCATGTACTTCCATGCCCTCTTCAGGTCCAAATCACAATTTCGGCGGTGATAACGATGCATAACCTCCGCTGAATGGCATCAGTGGCAAAGCATGCCTGAAGAACATAAGTTGAACCCCGGTCAGAGCCTAGCATATCTGAGAAGAGCTTCACCGCGTTTATTTCCTTCGGAAACGAACGCAATTGATCGTTCCAAGTGTCTCTAAGAGTTGGCTGAAAGGTCTTGGGACCATCTCTATCTGCGAGCGAAATTCAAGCATCCGGTATGCTTACTGGTGCTTCATATCATCAAGGCTTGCGTAGACGAACTCTTCAAACTTGGCCAACAGCTTTACGGCCTGTTCATCTCCAGTCGGAACCAGTTGCGAAAGGTAAACACCAGCCACGCCGTTCTCGAGATCGACCCACTGCCATACGGCCAGTCAGTCAGATATTTATCGGGTTTTACATGTAGGCAGACTTACCCAATAGCAATTCGGCATCCCAGACCATGTCAAGGAATGAGCTGCTCGTCGATTCGGAATGGCATCAAGATTAAGGAGGCCTCCGAGTCCAAAGTTCACAGAGACATTGTCAGGGACGGTGTTGAAAACTGCGTTGAGGTAGGATGACGAATAGCCTTCTCGACTTTCGAGTCCATCGACGCTTTCCAGCTGCGGCTGAAACATAGTCTCGACGGTCACTGGATGGAGAAGTTTCCCGTTCAGGATGCCCTGGTAGATGTTGAGTAGCGCGCTCGCTGTGGCATATAACCCTCCGCCGCCGAGATCCTCGTTGATTTGTGCCGGCCACAAGGGCTCTTTTGGCCTCCGGAGGGTTTCGCCATGTCGCTCCCACTGATTCACCAATCGAGGTTGCAAGTCTCCGCGAGTTTCCATGTGGAAGGTGATGTCTTTGGCGGAGACGGGGTCAAAAATATGACGCTTCATGTAGTCACCCAGTCTCATGGAAGTCACTCGTTCGACCTTCGCAACACGCTCGTTAGCTTTCGACAACAACCTGCAGAGACAATCAGTCCTACCATAAGGCCTGCCCAGTCTACGCCTGGGGAATATATCCAGCGGCTGCCCGGCTCGAACACCAGAAATGTGAAGAACTTTCCCTTCTACATCCCACAGTCAATGGCTATATTTACACACTTTCTTTTGTCCACATACAACCGAGTGCGGGTTCCGAGGCTCCACGGTTGGGAGCTGGGCGTAACGCGTCAAGAGGGGCTCCATGAACGTATACGTCATGCCGCTCGAGTGAGTCAGGAGGTGTCTTGAAAATCAACCTATGGTTAGTATATTTTGTGATGCCATGGCGTTCGGGCGAATGACTTGCCGCAGGGTGATAGCCTTCTCAGAAGGCCTGAGCAAGGGTCCGTCATTTTCATCGAAACCTGTAAGAATCTGAGGGTTTTCCCACTCCGGTAAGATTTTTGAAACATCTGCATCGAGGTCCAACAGTCCTTTCTCTACACATTGCAGTACAGCAACGGTAGTCACGAGCTTCGTAGCCGAGGCGATAAGGTGTACGGCATCCGTCTCTGTAATGTCGTCGACCTCCTCTCCGAATGCCTGAGAATAACGGAGCGAACCTAACACGCCAACCAGATCAGCCTGGGTCGCATGGCGGATGCACACTGCGGCATGTTACCATCCCGATTTATAGCTCCAAGTGTGACTCGAGGAAGTGGCTGTTTGACCCCTTCCTGGGGATGACGAAGTGATTCAACAATTTCTCCGAACGACTCCATGGTTCAAGATTAACAGCGTAAGATAGTAAGGAAGAGGGCGATGAAGAACTTACTTTGCAGTGGATGTCACCGGGCTTTATAGAACGGCAATCTTAGTGCACGTTGGGGTATGTTAGCTTGTGAGGCTTTCCGGAATGGGTACCATGTGGGCAGACGTGCTAGACTTGTGAGGTGGGGAGTATCTCGTGTGAAGACTGGAGTGACTTTGTATGCGGAATACGTCATGCGTTCACACAGATACATGGGGCACAGGCCATATTCAACAAGCTCAAAACCTCAGCCGGCTATGGGCGTCAGTCTAAATAACCCCAATTTTATTGGAGATGCTTCATTGCATAGGTAGCTGCCAGAAAGCTGAATGCTGGCTTCACAATCCGGAGCGCCGATCATACCTGAGCAAGCGCTGGGGCCTTATAGCGATGGCCTGACGCCGACCCACCTTGATGACACTTTTCCCTTCTTCGGTCTAGCCTACTGCGGAGCCTGAATCGATGGGAATGGCCCCGTGTATCGAGACAGCTCATTGAGCTGCAGTCACTTGTAGACCTGGCCCGTTGCCGCTCCAGTACCTGGCTGTTCCTTGGGTGCGCATCGCGAGCACAGAAGCTTGGCAATGATACTTCCCGGAGAACTGGCCACCAAGTTGTGACACTGATCTCCGGGGTCTTACACCCTTGTACTGCGACAAGCCTATCTATAGGCTATCAGCATGTCTGATAGCAACCGTTCTTGCATAGCCCGTCAAAAGGCGGGGGGCGATGCCCGCAGATCCCCTGTCAGTTGGTCGAGATTCCGGGGTTCGCTCAGTCAATCTTCCCGTCAAAGTTCTACGAGGGCGCAAAGGAGGGGGAAACCATCAATGCAAGGTATAAAGAGAATGCGGGGGAGGCCATAGACATTTCAACTCGGATAGGTACCGACCTACCTCACTTCCTGTCCGACTGATTATGATGCTGCTTGCGATGGGGGCTGCCCTCACAGCTTTGTCCATCCTGAATGTTGTGTCTGGGCAGATCGTTGAGGCAACCGATTGGAGTTGGGCCGGAGTGAGTCTGCCGTGATCATCTGCCGCCAGGCCTCACTCTTTCACGGCGAATTGACTACGCGGCAGATTTACCCCAGCAGGGAGCTAGAGTGGCACAAGTGTTTCGACTGCGCTGGACAATGCGAGGGCCGACTCGACTGTGCTCGTCTCGATGTAAGTGAGGGAGCGCCCTTTTACGAATGCCTCTGTCCGTCTAACGGCTCCCAGGTGCCGATGGACTGGTCCGATCCTAACGATGACCGACGGGTAGTTCTGGCGATCACCCGACTGCCCGCTGTGAACAAGACCAACTATCGCGGGCCTGTCATTATGAACCCTGGTGCAAGTTCCTCATGTTGTCAGCTCATACTGGAGAGAGCCTGACCCTGATTCGTTAGGGTGCCGGAGGATCTGGTAATTACGTGCTGCGACTCTATGGCAAGTATATGCAGAGCGTTGTTGGTAATAACCATGTAAGCCCCTTGACCGTCTCGTCACGGAACGCAACTGAGATCTCGGACCAGGATCTCATCTCATTCGACCCCCGTGGCGGTCAGTCCAAAATTCGACTCGAAACCTCAGCGAGTCCACACTGACAAGAACAGTTGGCGCGTCGACTCCCCGCTACCAGTGCTTCGACCACCCTTCAGACAAGGTGACCTGGGACGCCCAGGACCCAGGCACAATCGACGCGGACAGGTCCCTGAGCCTCGGCCCCCTCCTGTACGCCCGAGCCAAGGCCTACTCCTCCCTGTGCGAGCGGCAGGTACAGAAGACGGGCCTCGCCCAGAACTCGGGTACGGCCTATGTCGCCCGCGATATGCTCGAGATTGTCAACAAGGGGGACCCGGCGTTTCCTGACCTCAAGTTCTGGGGCTTCAGCTACGGCACGATCATTGGCGGCGTCTTCGCCGCCATGTTTCCCAACCGCGTGGAGCGCATCCTCAGCGACGCCAACGCCAGTTACCTGGAGTGGTTCCGGGGCGGGGAGCGGCAGTTTCTCGATTCGGCCGAGGATGTCATGAACGCTTTCTATTCCTACTGCCACAAGGCGGGATCGGAACGATGCGAGTTCTTTGACGAGTCGCCGGCAGCGATTGAGAACAGGTTCCATACCCTGTTCGAGACGCTGAGGAGGGAGCCCGTTGTCGTGAAGCCCAACAGATGCACCGGGCCAGCGGTGCCGGAGCTCATCACGTATGCAAAGCTGAAGATGCACCTTCGCGAGGCCCTTTACCAACCATACTACGGATGGCCGTACTTTGCGAAGATTCTCGCTGCCCTGGAGCGTGGCGATGGGAGACCCTTTTACGCATTCTATCACCCCACCCCCCAGGCGCCGGCGGAGTCGTGCGAGGCGCCTGTGTCGCCGTTCGAGCCTTTGGAGGGCATGACACCCAGCACGCCCGACGCGTATCCCTTCATGCGCTGCGCTGATCGGCCACAGGGAAGCAACCACACTCTCGAGGAGTTTGTGCAGAATGCACGAGATCTGATGGACTGGAGTCCTTCGGTTGGGGCTGCCAATCTGGACAACATCCTGCGCTGTGTCGGCCGCACCACGGAGCCCAACTACAGCTACAATGGTAGAGCTGTGACCGTATCCCGAAGGCTGTTGGTAGACTGACTGTGTGCAGGAGACTTCAAGGCCGAGACGAAGCATCCTGTGCTGTTCATCAACAACGTAGCTGACCCCATCACCCCCATTGTCAGTGCGCATACCAACGCGGCTGGGTTTCCTGGGTCCGTCGTTCTGCAGCAGAACTCCTATGGCGTAAGTCCTGTTGTTTCATGCTCCACTTCCACGAGCTTGCTGACTGGAAATGATGAAGCATACTTTCCTCGCCGCTCCGTCTACATGCACAGAAAGATATGTTTTTGAGTATTTCCAGGATGGAACGCTCCCAGAAAAGGGGACAGAGTGCGAGGCGAACTCGGAGCCTTTCTGGCCCGTAGTCTGAGGGATGACCATATGAAGCTGCAGTGTGACGGCGACTTTGGATGATGCGAGAGACATAAGTCGATGTGTATTCGTAGAAGGGGGTGTGCGATGACGGGTGAGCCCCGTTCCAATGTGCTACAGGTGGTGGCTTCGGTTATATGCTCGTGAGCTGTGGCGGTTATCGGCTATATGGCTTCCCCGCCGGCACGCACTGTGCGCTTGGCTTCATAATGCCACCATGACGCTTGACGTCAAGGGTGCAGGACCATTGTGGTGGGCGAGCCGTGCAATTCATTGACCATCTGTTGCCTTGGCGCTTAGCATACATTGATTTCCTATTTATCAACAAGCACCAGCGAAAAGCTTACATTGATTGTTCTTCAGCTTTTGAGTTTTGTTGGCCTAGCAGAGATGTCGCGACGGCTTGCTCATCGGCTCTGGCGCGTGCGTCAGCCATCGGCTCTTTCATCACTCAAGATATCGCCATCGCCATGGGCCCCAAGGCTGTTATCGTGTCACTTCTCAACGTCCAACGCTAGAAAAATCATGGGCATGGCAGGCTTCACAGAGAACCAGCTCATGGTTCGCGAGGCCGTTGGACAGATCTGCGCCGAGTTTCCAAACACGTACTGGCAGGAGCGCGACCAGACGGAGACGGACCCGAAAGAATTCCACGCCGCGCTGGCCAAGGGCGGCTGGCTGGGCATCGCCTTACCAGAGTCTCTCGGTGGCTCAGGCCTCGGCATCTCCGAAGCGACCATGATGATGCAGACGATTAGCGAGTCCGGCGCCGGCATGGCGGGGGCGCAGTCTATCCACGCCAACGTGTACGCGACGCAGCCGCTGGCGAGGTTCGGCTCGCAGCAGCAGCTCGAGACGGCTATTCCCAACATCGTGTCGGGCAAGTGGCGCGTGTGCTTTGGCGTGACGGAGCCCAACGCGGGCCTCGACACGAAGAGCCTGACGACGACGGCGAACAGGCTCGATGACGGGTCGTATAGCGTGTCGGGGCAAAAGATCTGGATCACATGTGCGCAGGTGGCGTCCAAGATGATCCTCCTCGCACGCACAGGGCCACAGGCTCTTTCGCTCTTCTCCATCGACATTGACAGAGAAGCCAAGGGCCTCGACATGCGCAGGATCAAGAAGATGGGTGGACGGGCAGTCGATGCCAACGAAGTGTTCTTCGACAACTACCAGATCCCGGCCGACGCGCTCATAGGTGAGGAGGGCAATGGATTCAAGATGATATTGCATGGGATGAATGCTGAGCGGTGCCTGCTGGCGGGCGAGGCTCTCGGGTTAGGCTACGCGGCGCTGACGAGGGCGGCGACGTATGCTCGCGAGCGGGTGGTGTTCGGCCGCCCGATCGGTATGAATCAAGGGGTGGCTCATCCGCTGGCGGATGCATACATGCAGCTGGAGGCGGCAAAGCTGGCGACGTACCATGCAGCTCGCCTCTACGATGCCAGCAGCAAGACGGATTCGTCGATCCAGGCTCACGAATTGGGCATCGCAGCAAACAGCGCCAAGTACCTGGCGGCAGAGGCAGCATTTGCGGCATGCGAACGGGCCGTCCTGGCACATGGCGGGATGGGCTATGCGATGGAATATGACGTTGAGAGATGGTTGCGGGAGTGCATGGTGCCCAGGATCGCACCCGTCAGTCGAGAGATGATTCTCAACTTTATCAGCGAGAAGGTGCTTGAGCTGCCACGCAGCTATTGAGGGATGCGGCTGTTGATACGTGAACAAATGAGAATCAGGTGCTGGGACGTCTTGGTAATGGAGGCTCGAAGGCGTGATCTTGACAATCAGAGGGATTGCGACTTGGAAGGCGACGTCTGAGAAGTTGCTAGGCGGGCATGAAGTCGTCGAAGGTGCCTGCCTGCATATGGGATGAGGGGAGAGAGCCCTTACAGTCTTCGCACAGTGTCACATCCAAGGGTGGAAGGCCCAAGCCCAAGTCAAGCCACAGTGCATTCCTTCCAAGAAAAGCGCTGCGTCACACTACTCTGAATATTACACTGCACATATTCAAGACCGCCATCTTCTTGTCGACCACCCTCCCTCACGTGCACCAATCGCCCACTCATGGTGAGCATCATCTGTTCGGTGTGCGACCATGGATCCGACTGGGACTGGCTCACATGCCTATGACAAGAAGTCTCGTGCGAAACATGCTTGTCGGGTGTGCAATTCGAGGCGAGTGCGCTGTAACGTCACCGAGATCTATCCCTGCTCCAACTGTGAGATTGCCGGCACCAAGTGCGAAGTCTTACCGTCCAAGCGGGGCAGGTAAGACTGTTACGCCAGTCTCTAGAAGCAAGACCTGATCATTCGCAGATATCCTCGTAAGAAGACGCGCCAGAATAAGCACACGGGCTCCGGCGGCCAGGCTTCTGAAGCAGAAGCTGAACCAGCGTCTGTTGCCCATAGCCCACAATCCACCACCCTTTCACACAGTCATGCCGCGAGTCTAGATCCCGCATCACCGTCAAGACGTGACGACAGTTTGGCTGCAGACCCAGCGCCAGGTCCTGGCACAGACTTGGGTGACGAGAATGCGAATCGTCCATCGTTCAAATCCCCATCGTCCACCTCGACGCCGGGCAATCTGTTCTTTGGCGAATCAAATTTCCTCACACTGGTGCCGGGCCGAACTCAGGCAAACGGCGAGCGCTCGACGCAAGGCCGCGAACATGGCCAGAAAACCCGCTTCGTCTTTCCCACGCCCTCGACTCCTCAGTCGCAGACTGGCGGGGCATCGCCTGCGAGCATCGCCCACCTGAGTGCTGGTACGACCCGCTACCTACGAGATGAAGGGGCACTCACCTTTCCCGACCCCAAAACCTACCTGCCAGCCCTCGAGGCGTACTTTACCTGGTTCCATCCGTGCTTCCCTGTTCTCGACCATGCGGATTTCGCGCAGCAGGTCTCGAAATCGGTAGTTTCACCGATGCTGCTCCAAGCTGTCTTGTTCATTGGTGCTACATATTGTGGCGATGAAACTATCGCTATGATGGGCTTCAAGGACAGATCCGAAGCCAAATCACTCCTGTACACACGAGCCCGACTGCTGTTTCACGCCGATTGGGAGAAGGACGAGATTACCCTTTTACAGTCCCTCTTTCTCCTCAGCTTCTGGCGGGGTGGGCCGTCGGATGTGAGGGATGTACGGTACTGGCTTGGAGTCGTCATTAGCCTGGCCGAGTCATACGGCTACCATCGTTTGTGAGTTCAACATCGCGACACCTGGGGGCGTTTCATCTGACATGGCACAGGACAAAATTCTCCACTAGAGACGTGAAAAGGTCACGTCTGAGAAGGAGGCTATGGTGGTCTATCTACGTCAGTGTCATGGCCGTTACTTCTCTGACCATCCTTGCTGACTTGTACAGGTTCGAGAACGGCAGTCTGCAGTTTCTCTGGGACTACCGAGCAGGATACGAGATGAGGACTGTGACATTGAGCCCTTGAGTCCGACGGACCTTGAGTCTGAACAGATTACACCAGAGACGTTAAGCCTTGGTGTCTATACCGCTGAGCATGTTGTATACGCTACCAAAATGGTCGAAATCGCAAGGCTACGTGAGCATCCCCTGCGTCCACCGGCAGACGGAAAGGCTGATACATGACCTCATTTAGTTGGCCGGATTATCGACTTGCACTATGTGCCTGGGAAGCTCCCGTCCACATCCGAACAGGTGAAAAGCCTGGACACGTCTCTAGAAGCCTGGAAGAAAAGCTTACCGGAGGATGTGAGAGAGGACGCCGACGATGGAGGGACGTCGGTGTGGGCCTCTCTCCTCCACTTATCTTACAAGTACGTTTTTTGGTAGTGTCAAGGTACCTCGTCCAAAACTACTTACGTTCTTTGCAGTCATTTGAAAATTCTGATCCACAGAGACGACTTCCTGCGTTCCGTGGCGCCAGAACTAGGCAGCAAAATCGCGGTCACCGCCGCCTGCCGCATAAGTCGCATTGCCGAAGATATGCTTTCTCAGGGGACGCTTCGCTATGGCCAGATGCACTTGTACATCCATCTCCCATTCTAAGTCATAGACTTACTGACCAAGCACATAGGATCACGAGCGTCTTTGCAGCCTTGTGCATACACGTCATCTGTATTAGAAGGGGAGCCAACGTCTCGCGACGGATAGCTGAGACACGCGCTCAAATGTGCCTCCTTGGTCTCAAAGAGATACAGAAATACTGGAGGATTAACATCAACGTGCTCGACCTGTTCCTCCAGTATCTCGATGAATCGATCGCCAAGAGGCTTCACGGTGATCAACACGAGACCTCTCTTCATAGTTCGACGATTGTTGATGCTGCCAACCAAGTAGCCTCTGATATCGACACGGCAGACTCAGGTGTCAGGGCTCCAACCTCTGATGCAGGCCCCGACAACCTGGCGCAGGTTCGCCCCCACGAATCTTACGAGGACCCCTACTTCGCCCTGCTTAACGGCTGGGATGGTGATCATTCGCTAGCGGACATCGGTCTGTTTTTGCAGTCGGATGATTTCATGCAGGCCGAGGGTCTTACATTTCTTGAAAGATCGCTGTAAAAACCGAGTTTGTACGTTGGGGCTTTCATTCTTTTGATGTGGGTTTGGAAGGGCGCTGGGACATGCTCTCGGCTGGGCCCTTTGAATGCGGTTCGTTGAGGGGCGCTTGATCCATATCGGCTATTTGGCCCTCTGATCAAGTAGCCGAGCAGTCAGCAACCTTACCCGACTCTGCAGCTCCTCGAGCAGCCTCTAACAGTGCTTAAGGCAAGGGAAAGGCGAACAACTTCGTCGAGACTTGACGACAGCTTTGATGCATGACTCTAGGCCTCTCACTGTAGGCTTCTCATTTTCATCATGCACTTTTGCTGCGCGCATGGCCCGACGCATCTCGCCTTCGGCCGCGTATGGAATGCCCCGCTTCCAATCGTCGATGACACATCGTCTCATGCAGAAAACGGCCTCTGAAGCAGCTTTGCGTCTACTCGAAAGCTTTGCGGACACAACCGTCGCGCGCCGACAGGTAGTCGATGGAAATCAGCTGCAAAAGCTGAGTCTGACGCTTGGCCGCCGACAACTGGCACGAGACCTTGACGTCTCAATCTCCGCACCCCCTACCGGAACACCGTTGCCGCACGGTTATCACCTTGTGTACTTTACGCCAAATGGCATTGAGGGCGAGCTACGGTGCTGATGGCACAGACAAGACGTTCAATGCACCGTCGCCATCAGTCGGGTG